GCTGCGTTTATAAGTCGCAAAGTCTCCTGACTAAAGGCCCCCGCGCTCAGCGTCCGCGACAGTCCGGATCGTGCTTTAATGTATAAATATACGAATGCATCAACCTATGATACAGACCGGGCGTGTGTCGTCCGTGTCACCTGGGCCCAAATGTACATGAACATTTCTTGAGACAGGGGATGGGCGGCGGCCCGCAACTGCGTCGTGCATCCCTATCCTTTGACGCAACTTTGATTCCAAATGTCTTCACTACAGTAATCTGATCGCGAAGCCTGGGCCACTCTTCTCACTCTCATCACACAACTTGTTGCGTGTTGTTGCCCCAAAAGTGGGCTTCGACGGTTGCAAACTCGTTTCACACGCGCAAATAAGCAACACACGCTCTATTGCTGCGAATCCCAGCGTCAAGGACGTTGGCGCCAAACGCTCTCTGACCGATCTTGTTGGTGTGAGAGAGTCACGCATAAGCTGTATTTTCTCCAGCGTTCCTGCAAGGAAGTGTGCTTTAAAGTCTGCAGCGCCTTATGGTCAATGTGGCACGGCCTCGTCACGCTGATCCCGCCGGTCGGGGATCCCCTCGCAGCGCTCTCGCCGTGGGTGCCCTCATGGCGGCCGCCAGCAGCGCAGCGTCGAGCGCCGGCGCCGACAGAGGCCAGACCACGCCCACACGCCTCTCGAGCCTCCCCCACGAGGTCCTAGCAGCCATCATGCTGCGCGCCGAGTGCCCCCAGGCCCTCGTCTTGTGCTGCAAGGATGCGTCAAACGCCTGGCCCCTCGCGCGCGACGCATGGGCTCGCGGACGAGCATTCAAGCGCGCGTGCGCCGCCAACGACGCCGGGGCCGCCGCCGCGCTGCTGGCGCTCGGCTGGCCGGGCGCGGGCGCCGCCGCGGCCGCCGCGCTCGCGCGGCTCGCGCGGCTGGGGGGCGGCGCGCTCTTCTCGGCCGTGCTCGCGTGGGCCGCCGAGGCGCAACCCGCGCTGCTCGCGCCGCCTTCGGGCGCCAATGGGCCGCTCATCGTCGCGGCAGCCGCGGGGCGGCGCGGCGTCTGCCAGGCTGTCGCGCTCGCTCTGGACGGGCTGCTGCCATCTGCCGCCGCCTGTGGCGCTACGGCAGCAGCGGCCGCCGACTCCGCGTCTGGGGGAGTGGAGCGCCGCCAGGTGCAGGCGCAGCTGGACGGCGCGCTGTGCGTTGCCGCCGCCGGCGGGCACACGGCGATTATGACTGACCTCCTCGCCCGCGGCGCGCGCATCAGCGGCGCCGGCGCCGGCGCGCCCGGCGCCCTGCACGCCGCCGTGACCCACCGTCAGGCGGCGGCGGTCGCGCTGCTCGCCACACAGCGGCCGGCCGATGGCGGGCCAACACCCGAGCAGGCGGCGGCGGCGGCCGAGCTCGCGGCAGCGGCCGGGCACGCATGCTGCCTAGCTGCGCTCGCGGACAGCGGCCTGCTCGGGGCCCCCGCACTCCGCACCGCGCTGCTGGCCGCTGCGCGCGCGGAGCAGCGCGATTGCGCGGCGGTCACGCTTGCGGCTTTGCGGCGCTCGGCCGCGGCTGCGACCGCGGTCGCGGCCGCGCGCCTGGCGTCGCCGCAGCAGTGGCCGCCGGAAGCTGCGGCGCTGCGTGCCGCGGCTGCGGATGGGTCGGGCGACGGGGATGTGTTTGTGACAGTCACCATCATACGGCCCAGCAGCTGCAGCGGGGCGGGCCGGCAGCAGCAGAAACAGCAGCCGTTGCAGCATCAGCCGCAGGGCGCGGCCGCCCCCTCCATTGCCGGCCGCGTGGCGGGGCAGCTGCCGCCGGCGCGGGGCTCCCCCGGCCGCGGCGGCGCGGCGTCCATCCTCAGGGCCGCGCTCGCGGATTCCCTCGCGGTCGTCGCGCCGGGCGGCAAGACCGCCGCCCTCCTTCGGCTGGAGGTCGCCGCAGCCGGGTTTGCAGACGGCACCAGGGCCAGGGGTGCCGCCGTCGCCGCTGAGGCGTGCGATCGCGCAGCGAACACGCGCGAACCAACAGGTGGCTGGTTCTACAGGCTCATCGCGTCCGCCCTGAATTGAAGCATACGTCATCACGGGCCGCACCCTTACACACACGCATCCGTTTGGCACAGTTTCCGCCTGTTTTTTTCGCTCCAGACCCGTCGATGCTGCCCGCGAGCCACATTGACAGTTGAGCGCCGCCGTCGTCGGCCTGTGGGGGACGGGGCTGTGCATGCACATTTTTGCTCCACCAGTTTTTGTCGTTCACACACAGAAAGTTTCGCGTGTCGCCTTGGGGCGCTTCTCCCCCATTTTCCAGCCCACTTGGGGCGCATCTCATCTGAGCGGTGGCGAGGGTCCTCGCTCTTGAAGGCTACGGCTGCACGACACCTCGTCTGAGGCCGGCGGAAGAGACGCATGCGACGGCCCGCAGCGGCCGCGCTGCCAGCGCGCCCACGTGCTTGTGACAGGGTTTGGCCTCTGGCACAGGCCGCCGCCGCCACGTGGTGGGCTCCTGGCGTGTGCCCTTGACATCAACCCAAACTTTGTGGCCCCAAACCCGGCCCCCTCCGTATAGCCCGGGTTTGGCCGCCTTCAAGCCACTGCCAAGCCACACTTTGCGCAACCTTGCCGGTCGCATGCACAGCGCAGCCGTCATGCAATGCTGCACTCTTGATCACCTTCACACGAAGCCGGCGCACGGGGCAAGGCAACCGCATGGCCTCGGCATATGTTTTTGGAGCGCGCCGACAGACTGTGCTGGGCCTCACCCGCCCCGCAAATCTCACCCTCTCACATCACATTGGCCCTTCTTAGCCAACAATACTTGCCGCTCCGACTCGACCACAGTTTTCAAACCCCGCCTATCTGTGCAAACTGCCGTCCCAGGCCGATGGCTCTGAAGCGCACCCGCATTTGCTTGTGCGCGTGATCACCTTGCAATACTTTACTCTTGCGGGCGATGTGGGGATGAGTAGGGGGCAATGAAGGCAGGCGCTATGAAAGGCAGCGAGCCGCCTTTTTGTGAGCCACAGGCACAGCTCGCGTTCGTACGCATTTGTATCGTGGCAGGGGCTCTGTGCGCACCTGAAAGCACTGCGCCATCGCGCATGCAACATCATGTAACCCTGCTAAAACAAAGGGCGCGGAGGTGGTGGCATTCACGCAGCCACGAGGCCTGGCCTGCAGCCAGGGATGCAGCAGCCATGCGTGCGCGCGCTGTGCATGCTGTGTCAGGGAATCGGGCAGAGCGCGTGCGTACGAGGTGGCGGGCGCTGGGGATATGGTAGGGACTGAGGGTGGCAGCTTAGAGGGCGCAGCTGCGATTGCCCAGGGCCGTGTAGTGAGTGGGCGATTGGGCGGGCGGCGCGTCTTGGTGGCCCTGACAAAGGCGACCTAGCTACGTGTACTTGTTTGTGCTACTGTACTCTCTGCTATCGTTCTGGATGGCACGCAATAATGGCGCGGCTTTGACGAACGCAGCAGCCGCGTTTTCAAGCTGCCTCACCTGTGCCAGCCAACCCGCCTGATATCTACCTCCCCCCCCCTCCCCGCCGCCAGCAATGCTCCATGCCCAGGGCTGGGAAAAAATGCGGGGACATGAGCAGGCAGCTGCGGGTGCACCGATGGCGGCGGCAGCGGCAGGCGCGGGCACAATGTTTGTACGCGGCGAGCTCGCGGCTGAGGTGAGTCTGCAACAACCAGCTGTCAATTCCAGGGTGGTGGAAGCGTACCTCAGTTGCATGTTTGTTTGGAGGTGCTTTATCCAAGCGAACAACCATCAGATTGGCCCGCCACCTGCTTGGAATGGGGCTTCGAGTTGCCAACCCGCTGCGCGGCCGGCTCAGGGCTTGGTTGACCCTGCTGGTGCTTCCAAGCCGGTTGCAATGCCATGGTGTGGAGGGCGGGTCAAAGGCCCCCATAGCACAGGTTATGCGTTCCAATTACTCAATGAAAACAACCCCGACCATCACGGGCATCAGGAGAGCTGCCCTCTCAGCGAATGCCCAAGCCCGCCGTACAGTAGTCAACGCGAGCTGCGCCATCACCATGCCGAGCAGCGACACAAGGGAATATTGCCTATACTCAATGCGATCGATGTGATCGATGTAAATGCTAAAAAAATACGGTTTGGACTGGTCTCGTCTTGCGCACGCTGCGATGAGCGGGATCACCGTCTAGTCACCCGTCATTGCAGGGCTCACCGCTTCGTCCATTGCAAAAGTTGCATGGATCACTGCGCGCTTTGGGTGTCATACAAAGGCTGTTTTCCGACGCGGTCGCGAGGCTTCAACGCATCAGTGCTGGGCCAGGCAGAGCAGGCCCTCGGAAGAGCCTGTTTGAGAGCCCCAGGATAGGAAGAACAATGACTATTCCAGACGCGTTGTGAGGTAGCTCTCGGCGCTCACCCAGCAACGGCCATCTGCAGGGCCGGGTTCGCGCTTGGCCCGCCGTACAGCAGTCGGGTCTCCAACCAGCGCGAAGGTGGATTCAGCGCTCTACACGCACTCTGGACGCAGGCAGCTAGGCTCCTGCACTGCCATTCCCTGCTCTGTTGGGGTTGCGCACGCGCGCTGCAGTGACTTGATCGGCCGGGCGGGAAACGTCGGCATCTGCATTGCGCTCGGCCTCGGCGGCGCTGATCCCACAATCACCAATGTCGTGGTCCGTGCGAGCGCCCTTTCGCACTTCAGCTGCCCAGAAGGTGCGCCGGCACGCGCAGCAACGAGGATACGCGTCACCGCTGCGCTCAATTGGCCGCGCATGTTGTGCTCGCCCCATGTATGCAGGGGCGGGGTCAGTTGCATGAGCACAAATTCGGCCCCATCCCTTTTGCATGCCCCGCAACACGTCCAACCCATGCAAAGCTGGAATGAACTCCGACGTTAGCAAACTCCAAGGGTTGCCACATGCGCTGCCTGACGGACCGCTTCCATGCAACCTGCCAGGCTGCACAGGTCGCGCTGGCCGCGGCCGGCGGCGACGATGATGGGGCCAGCGTGGGCATGGGCATCACCCTGCGGGCGGCATGGGGCGGCGGCGCTGCCGCGCTAGCGTCGTACGCCCTCCCCGACGTGCCGGCGGCGACGTCCCCCCGCGCCGGCTCGCCCCACCCGCCCCTCGCCGCCGCTGCCGCCGCCGCAGCCGCAGCTGCAGCCGCAGCCCCGCCCTGCACCCGCAAGGCCGAGGGCCTCGGCCAACCCTGCGACGCCACTGCGGCCGTGGCGGCGGCGGCGGCGGCGGGGTACGCTGACGTCAGCGACGGCCTCGTCGACCTCATTGGCGTCGGTCACCTGGGTGACATACGCCGCGCAGGTGACACCGGCCAGCGGCCCGCCCGCAGCTGCTCCTCTCTCGCCAGCGATTGCAGCGGCCTTGCCAAGGCTGCGCTCGCGCCGGCGGGCAGCAGCGTCGCAAGCAGCACCTTCGGCGGCGGCGCGGGCGGCGGCGGCGGCGGCGCGGCGATCGAGGCGCAGGGGTCTGCACTTTCGGTGTGCAGCACAGGCCTGGCGGATCACGACCTGGCGTCATCGGCCTCCATCAATGGCGAGGAGCGCTCTGCCGAGGAGGAGCCGTCCGAGGGGTCCAGCTTCGCCACCGCGGACGCGTCGTCCGAGGTTGCGGGCCCGACGTCCTCGGACTCGACCTCGGCCGCCGGGGACGACCCCGACGGCCCGGCGGCGGGCGCGGCGGCGGCCGCGGCCGCGGGAGCGGCGGAGGGGGCGGTTGGGGCAGCGCTGGCCGCGCTGGCGGGGCACGCGGAGGCGCTGGCGAAGGCGGCGTCCGCGGTCGGAGCGCCCCCCGTGTCGCTGAAGCCCGCAGGCTATCCTGCGCCCGGCGCCACGCCGTCGGTTTCGGAGGCCGACCCCGGCTGGCCGGGCTCCCGCGCCGCCGCACCTGCGCCCGCGCCCGCCGCCTGGCCGTCTTCGCCCAGCAAAGCGCGGCTGCTCGCGCAGCTGCAGCGGCGCCAGCGCCAGCGCCAGCAGGAGGAGGAGGAGGCGATGGCGTGCGGCGGCAGCGGCGGCGGCGGCGGCGCCTGCTGCGCCGCCGGTGGGCAGGAGGCGCGGGCGGCGGCAGGGTGGGGTGCGCCGGCGGCGCCGCCGGGGCGGGCGCGGCGCGGGCTTGTTCTCGTGTCTGCAGCCGCTATGATCCCTCACGTTGCCAAGGTGGGCGTGCCGCTGAACGCATGGCCAAGCCGCAAGGCCGGGCCGTGGCAGGGACGAGTGTGTTCCCCAGCACGGCGCCCACCGGCGCGTAGCGCTGCGCCTGTGCCTGCTGCTGCGCCGCGGGCGCACTGCGTGCGATTTGGGTTCCTGCTGCGCCCGATTGTTCGGTGCCTGGGTTCCCGTGTTGAGGGTGTTGCACGGCTTGTTGCAACACAGCAAACCGTATGGCGGCTGCGTCCTCAGCCACCGCGCCGTCACACTCACAAGTTGCAACCCCTCCCCCCACCCCAGGCCAGCACCGGGGGCGAGGACGCGTACTACATAAGCGAGGCCGGCCACGGATCGCTCGCGGTCAGCGACGGCGTCAGCGCCTGGGCTGATGACGGCGTCGACCCGGGGGACTACTCGCGCACCCTGGTGCAGGTGGGGCCGAAGATTGACCAGGGTTGGCCGAGGTTGACAGGGGTTGACTGGGGTTGACTGGTGTTGACTGGAGTCGACCGGGGTGTAGGGGCGCGTCGCATTGTACATTTGCAGCGGGGCTCGTTCTCATGCGCCGCGCAGGGCGTTGCCGGGGTCCCGCCGCGCCAATTTCGTCACGCCCCCCCCCCCTGCTCTACCGGCCCGCGGGGCCTCTGTGAGATGGGGTCCGCCCGAGGATCTGCTTGCCTGCAGGGCAGCAACACCTGCATGCACATGCATGACACCTGCATCTCACGCGTCCCCTCGGCGCCGCATTTCGTGCTGTTGCGGCCGCAGAACCTGCGAGAGGCAATGGAGGCGATCCACCCGTCAGACCCGGCTGCGTTTGAGGGGCGTGAGGTCCTGAGGCGCGCCCAGATGGCAACGCTCAAACCCGGCTCCGCCACGGTCGTGCTCGCCGCGCTGCGCCCGCGCGGGTGCGGCTCGCGCGGCTGCGGCCCCCGTGGCGACGACGCGGGCGGGGAGGCGTGCGGGGACGGGAGCTGCTGCTGCGACGGGGGCGGCGGCGGCTGCAGCGGCGGCGATGCTGGGAACGCCGTCAGAGGGGGCGGCGGCGGCCGCATCGGTGATGGGGTCGGGGGCGAGGGCGTGTTTGAGCTCCACATCAGCAACCTGGGTGACTGCGGCGTGCGCGTCGTGCGTCAGGGACGAGTCATCCTGGCGACTCAGGTGTGTGGGGAGCACCCGAGGGGGACCGGGCCCGGGGCTACCAAGCAACGGCACAAGCGTGCGAGGTGCCCGGCGAGCAGCCGGGCCAGGCCTGCGGCACCGTGGCCGGCATGGCAGCACCCCTGCCGTCTCACCGCATTCCTATGCACCCCGCCTTGCAAACCCCTTCTCCTGCAAGCCTCGTCTCCTCTCTCCCCTATTCATCTTATCATCTCATCGTTCCCATCGCTGCCCCCACCCGCCCCGCGCAGCCTCAGCAGCATGACTTCAACCTGCCCTTCCAGCTCAGCCACCCGCGGCTGTTCCCAGAGACGGATAGCGCTGACAGCGCGGACCGTTATGTAATCGAGGTCCGCGACGGCGACGGTGAGTCACCACCCGCCCGCCGCTGCACCTGCCAGGAAGCTGCCAAGTTGGTTGGGAAGGGAGGCCGGCTTGGCAGTGGGCAAGCCTCCATTGGAGTCGGGCGGGGAAGGCGCTTCCACAGTCTGTAGTCCGTAGTCCGCAAGTTGACGATGCGCAGTCCGGCCAGCTTCACGCCCGCCCGCGGCGCCGCGCGGGGTCCTCCCAACTGGCTCTGATCTGCTTCCCGTCTGCTGCCCCTGGCCCCTCCCGTTTGTAGTCATCGTGGCGGCGTCTGATGGACTGTTTGACAATCTCTGGGACGACCAGCTGCTGGCCATCTTATCCGACGCCCTCGGGCAGCCGCGCTCGCCGGCCCCGCAGCAGCAGCCGCCGCCCCCCAGCCGCCTCCGCGCCCTCGCGCGCCGCAGCGCGGCCGCGCCGCAGGCGGACGCGGAGGGCGGGGCCGCCGCG